CACACACACACACACACACACACACACACACACACACACACACACACTGTGTTAACAGGTTGCATTATGGCATTTTCACATATGGAGAAGGTCAGTCTTCATTACCCTCCTCTTTGCTGTGGCAAAATTCCTGACGGGAAGCAACTTAAGGGAAGAAGGGCTTATTTTGGCTCTCGGTTAGCAAGGGTACAGTCCACCTTAGCGAAGGAGGTGTGGCCAAAGGGGCGTGAGTCAGGTACCGGCAGGCATGTGTGTTTCGGCCAGAGAGAGGCTGACGCTGGTACTCAGCTTTATTTCTTTGTCTTTTTAATCCAGTTCCGGACTCCAACCCAGGAGGTGGTGATGCCTTTGTTCAGGGTGAGTCTTGCACCATCAGGGGATTCTCTCGGGAAGTACCCTGACTCGCATGCTTAAACGTGTGCCTCACTAATGCCCTGTCCATGCTTTAATCTAGTCGAGTTGACAGCTGAAATTGACCATCGCAGGTGCTTAGAGGGCGTCACTCCCTGTATTACCCATGGTTTTTGTTTCACTTAAGTCATGGAATCAGCTGGGTGTGAGGGTACTTTAGTCCCAGCATTTGGGGAGGTAGAGGCAGGCAGATCCATGTCAGCTGGAGTCCAGGGCAACACAGAGAAACCCTGTCTCAAAACAAACAAACAAGTTACATGGGCTGGAGAGATGGCTCAGGGATTAAGAGCACTGGCTGCTCTTCCAGAAGACCCAAGCTCAATTCCCAGCACCCAAATAGCAACTAACAACTGTGTGAAACTCCAGTTCCAGAGGATCAAACCCCCTCACACAGACACATACAGGTAAAACACCAATGCACATAAAACAAAAATAAACAAAAAGTCATGACGTCTTCGTGGGTTATTAGGAACATTTTAGTAAAGTTATGCAATTGGAATGAATATAATAAAGCACAAGTTTCTGGATGTGGTGACACACGCCTTTAATCCCAGCACTCAGGAGGCAGAGACAGGTGGATCTGTGAGTTCGAGGTCAGCCTGGTCTACGTAGTAAGTCCCAAAACAGCCAGAGCTGTGTATCTCAAAAAATAAAAAAAACCAAATATAAATAAACCAAATAAATAAATAAAATAAAATGCAGGTCAACTGAACATGTAGCCTAGGAGAACCATATGACACAACTTCTCACCCGCTTTCGAGTGTGTGTGTGGACACGAGCATTCATTGCATGCATGTGTGAGCATGCCTTGGTTTCTATGGCGTGCAGCTCTTTCTGTGAGTAAGTTAGGAGACTCTTTTTTTCTTTTTTTAAAACTTATTTTTATTTTATGTGCATTGGTATTTTATCTGCATGTATGTCTGTGTGAGGGTGTTGGATCTTGGAGTTATAGACAGTTGTGAGCTGCTAGGTGGGTGCTGGGAATTGAACCTGGGTCCTCTGGAAGAACAGTAAGTACTCTCAACCGCTGAGCCATCTCACCAGGGCCTTCCTCCCCCCCCAAAACAAACAAATAAACAAACAAACAAACAAAAAAAACAGGGTTTCTCTGTCCTGCCTTGGCTGTCCTGGACTCACTTTGTAGACCAGGCTGTCTGAGAACTCATAGAGATCCACCTGCCTCTGCCTCCTGAGTGCTGGGATTACAGATGTGCCCCACCACCGCCCGGCATGTTAGGAGATTCTTGAGTCTTCAGTTTCAGGGTCTGGCTCTCCTCCCAGGCCTGGTTGTCCCTCTCCTGTGAATTTCCTTGTTAGGCTCCCTTCAGAAGCCAGAAAGGTCTGGGTATATGACCCGTGTGCCGAGGGGTAAACCAAAGGTGCCCAGTTATAAATAGAACAGGGCCCTCAAATAGGGAACCATGGGGCCACTTGAACTCCAGGCAGAACTCTGATGGGCTCACAAGGCCTTGTCAGCGTCTGCACCACGGTTCCCTCGGCTGTCCACACAAACTCTACAGGAACATGAAAAGGAACTAATTGGCAAAACTTCAGAAAAGTGGGGACTTAGGAAGTTGCCCACAGCTCACAGAGCTGGCACCTCTGGAGACTCAGGAGGGGGTGAGCCTTCCGTGAGGGGAGAGAAGCCAGGCTCTCCGGATTGACGAGCAGAGGAGCATGCGGAGCAGGGCTGTGTCACAGGCAGGACAGCCCCTCCCAGAAGATGGGCAAGGGAGGCAGAGGATGCTTCCACTGGGAACATGGAGGGCAAAAACCTGCACCAAAAGACTCAAGGATGCCTGAAAAGCACCTTCCCCAGACAAGAGCCCTAGATTTCCAGGGTGGATACCTGGGAAATCTAGTCATTTTATGGGACCCTATGACTACATTTGGCAGGGAGCCCCTTATCTATCTATCTATCTATCTATCTATCTATCTATCTATCTATCTATCTATCTATCTCTCTGCCTATTTATTTGGCAGGGAGCCCCCTTTTAATTAATTAAATAATTAATTAATTAAATCTTATCTATTTGGTTCTTTGTGACAGGGTTTCTCTTTGTAGCCCTGTAGACCACGCTGGCCTTGAACTCAGAGATCCACCTGTCTCTGCCTCCCAAGTGCTGAGATCAAAGGCATGTGCCACTACTGCCCAGCTCTCAGGTAGCTCCTTAAAGGACTGAGCAGCTATGTGAGACCCACAGGAAACTTCTCGAATATATGGTGTTGCGTTTCAAATGCTTGTGGTCTTTCACACACACAAATAAAATGTCAAGGGAAAGGGGCACAGCAGCCTCTCACAACTGGCTTTGTACATGCCTGTCTCACATAGGGCTTTCATCTAAGAGCATCGGGATAAGGCGTATGCTGCTATCTTGCATCTCAAGATTTGGTGAGACCCTATGAAATGGTTGGAGTCTTGTCCTCACACTTATATGTCTACTCCAGAAGGCCAACACTCTAGGCTGTGGAAGGTGGTTTTTTGCTTACCTGTAAGTGCGTTGTATGGGGTTTCTGCATTCCACGTTGTCCTCCATCTTTTAAAAAGTATTTAATTTTTTTTTTTTTTGAGAAAAATCTCACTATGCAGCCATCATTGTCTGGCCTGGAACCCATAGACATATTCTTGCCTCTGCCTCTCAGTACTGGGACTAAAGGTATGCACTACCATGCCCAGCTTTTTATTGTTTTTAATTATGTATCTGTGTGGAGTATATGCACATTTGTGCAGCACCTCAGGAGACCAGAAGATGGTGTCAGATGCTCTGGAAATGGAGTTACAGGAGGTTGTGAGCCACCTGATATGGGTGCTGGGAATCCAGCTCACATTTTAGGGAAGAGCAAAAAGTGCTCTTAACCCCTGAGCCATCTCTCCAACCCCTCCATCCTCCGTCCTTGGTGTTGATAAATTGTCTTTCCCAATCCTGTCCCCAGGAAATACATTCGATCTCATGACAAAGATTTAGTCAAGAACAGAAACATGATTGAATGCCCCATTATAAGCGGAATATCTATATCTTTATGTCATCTTGTCCATGGCTTGAGGAATAACTTAGAAGAGATGGGAAGCATGTAAAAACTGCAGGAAGCATGTGTGTGTGTGTGTGTGTGTGTGTGTGTGTGTGTGTGTGTCTGAAATGCTGACTTCTGGACATGACATGGCTGATGCTATTTTGAATTTCTTGCACCTGTGGTTACTTGTACCCGGTCACCATGTGACTGTTGGCATCTTGTCATGGAGAGGGGAGAGTATGGTGAGCTCACACTCCTCCCTGAGGATTTCTGCAGTTAATTAATGGCTGATGAAGGAAGGAGGGACATTTTCTTCAGTCCTGTAGCCACTGATAAGCTACACGTGCTGCTGTAGACCAGTTCTCACTCATGGTTTAGTAAACAGTCAAATGAAACTGATTGAAACACAGAACAACAACAACAAAACCAAAACCAAAAAATAAAATAAAAACAAAGTACAAGTGGGACAGGTTGGGAAGAGGAAAGAGATCATTGGAAAGAGGAGTTCTAGAAAGGTTAACAGGGGTGGGGGAGAAGATAGTAAAAATGCCATAATAAAACCCAGTATTATGGGTCATCAACACATACTAAAAATTCTGAGTGTGGAGGCGTACACTTTTAATCCCAACATTCAGGAGTCAGAGGCAAGTGAATCTCTGAGTTCAAGGCCAGCCTGGTACAGAGTGAGTTCCAGAATAGACAGGGATACCCAGAGAAACACTGACTCAAAACAAACAAACAAAAATATATATGCTAATAAAACATTAAAAAAGAAACATGGCTGGGTGTGGTGGCGCATGACTGTAATCCCAGCACTCGGGAGGCAGAGGCAGGCAGATCTCTGTGAGTTCGAGGCCAGCCTGGTCTACAGATCAAGTTCTAGGATTGCCAGGGCAACACAGAAGAAAAGAAGAATTTCAATCTGTATCTTAATAAGACTAGCAGCAGTGGTAACAGACAACCCACATGCTAACTTAAAATTGTTGGAATTATTATATTTTTAATATTTATTTTATGTGTATGTGTTCTTGAGTGTCTGTATGTGCAATGTGCATACCAGTACTTTCGGAGTCCAGAAGAGGGCTTTGGGATCCCTGGAACTGGAGTTACAAGTGGTTGTGAGCCATTGTGTGGGTGCTGGGAGCCGAGCCCAGGTTTTCTGCAAGAACAGTGCCCTTTACCACCGAGCCATCTCTCCAACCCTGATGAGATTATTTGGAAACCATGTGGCTTTGCTGTTGAAACGTAGTAATGTATTCCTTAGGCCGCTGCTAATGAGTGTCACTGGGGAAAGGAAAAACACTTTTCAGTGTGCAACTAGAACAAACAGCCATTCATGTAGGATAAGTGAAATGAGGACTTGTGGGGCCTCTGGATGGGGAGCTGGCATAGGCCCGTTCCCTGCTCTTCATACGCTTCCTCTGGGTAGTCCTGGCAACTGGGAGGGAGGGAGTATGGACATGTGTACCCAGTAAGAGACCTGCCTGACATTCCAGTGCTTAACTTTGGGCTCTAGTGTTGAGCTGTCCTTGCCTTCCAAGAACGTGCTCACGTACAGGAGGGCTCAGCTAGCTCCGTGGGTGATCAGCAGGTCTTGGTGTAGGAGTAGCCATGGATCTGAAAGCCCGGGCAAGGAACAGTGCTTCCTGTGGGTGCCCATGTTCACAGCTGTCCTAACTTCCTTCCTGATGTAGCTGCAGGTTGCTCCATTGCCATCCAACATGGAAGAGGCAGATGGGTCCCCCAAGGATAAACAATTGCCCTGTTTCTCCGATGCTGTATTGATTCCCAAAGATAGCAATATTTTATCTAAAGAAGTCATCAATAGTATGAAGGCTGCCGTGGCAGGAGGGAAATGGATGGAAGTAGCCTCTGTGGTCAAGGAGCTCGTACAGAAGACATCAAGAATCACAGTGAAAATTGCTGTGACCGGGGACTCTGGCAATGGCATGTCATCCTTCATCAATGCTATTAGAGGCATTGGACACGAGGAGGTGGATTCAGCTCCCACCGGGGTGGTGAGGACCACCCAAGTACCGGCCTGTTACTCCTCCTCCAGCTTTCCCAACGTGGAGCTGTGGGACCTGCCCGGCACAGGAGCCACGGCCCAGAGCATCAAGGAATACATGGAGGAGATGCGGTTTGACACCTACGACCTTTTCATCATCGTCGCGTCTGAGCAGTTCAGCTCGAATCACGTGAAGCTGGCCAAAGCTGTGCAGAAGATGGGGAAGAGGTTCTACATTGTCTGGACCAAGCTGGACAGGGACCTCAGCACGAGTGCCCTCTCTGAAGCCCAGCTACTGCAGAGCATCCGAAGGAATATCCAGGAGAATCTCCAGAAGGAGCAGGTGGAGAAGCCGCCCACATTCCTGCTCTCCCACATGAATCCTTTGTTACATGACTTCCCAGAGCTTAGGGAGACACTACAAAAAGACCTCTTCAACTTCAGGAAGTATGGCCTTTTTGAAACCCTTTTCAAAATCGGTAAGGAGGCTATTAATGAGAGAGTGAAATCCATTAGGAGCATGGATGCAGACAATCTAGGCAAGGATTTTGGAATCTCCAATCCAGATAATCTGGAAGAGAGTCAGAAAGCCTTCGAAAAAAGCTTTGGCCTGGATGATGAATTTCTTGCCATGCAGTTCCAGGATCAACAAGGTGACTGGCCATTGACTTGCCAGCTTCACTCTGGAGCCCAGCTTTTGCTTACAGGTGTAAACAAGATGTTCTTAAAATGCTTTTCTGGCCTTTCGCCTACACACAGCCAACAGAGACAAAGACAAGTGCTTGATGAGGTTGCTCAGAAAACCAAAAACATTCTGTGGAAAATCCTGGAAAAATTCATTAACCGTCCTCTGGAAGGTCCAGACAACTGAGGCCCTCTCCCCAGCTCTGTCTACCCTAAGTGTCCCTCCAGTTGAGCTAACTCATCCTGCAGGTTTCAAGTTCCTTGAGGTTTATAGGTCAACTTTTTTAATGGGTATCCCCCTCATGAAACACTATAATGGATTTTACTTTATACCATTTGTTTAATTTTATTAACGGAACTGTCTGGAATTCCAATATAAGAGAAATTTTCTTTTTCTGGTTGCACAGAATTTCACATTTGACACATATTCACCTTAACACCTACGATTAATATAGTTTTTCTTGATTTTCTCATCTCTCTCTCTCTCCCCCTCTCTTCTTCCCTGTCTCGGGAGAAGGAGCATTTCTTAAGGAAGAGGGCTGGGCAGTGGCGGCACACGCCTTTCATCCCAGCGTTCAGGAGCCAGAGGCAGGCAGATCTCTTGTGAGTTCGAGACCAGCCTGGTTTACAAAGAAAGTCCAAGGCAGACAAGACTGTTAAACAGAGAAACCCTGTCTCAAAAAACCATTAAAAAAAAAAAAAAATGAAGACGAGCTTGTTTTTTGGCTATTGTCTGAAGAGCATGGCTAGTAGGGGCCTGTTCTCTGACCTCTCCTCTGGTTGTGTAGAGGGGAATTAACCCTGGTTATCACTGGTAATAGGATTCACAGGGTACTGAATGGAAGAATTTTGAGTGTCCAAAACTGTCTTCATTGGCATCAGTGGTGCCATGTCTAGTCGTGGCCCCTCCCACTCTGTGCTTCCATAGTCTCATATTGGACTTGAACTTCTTCAACCACCCCTAACTCTGCAGGCTGCACCCCCCCCCACACTGACCCTTCTCTCTTTTACATAAAGCTTTCCTATTTCACTCAGTTTGTGTGTTTTGTGTTTATTTACAACGCTGTTCCATGTTCTGTCATATATGTTTCTTTGTTTCAGTCCCACTCTTGGTAGATGCCACAGTGCTGCCAGCCCACCTCTTTAACTGCCTCAGACCTATGCCCTTTCTTTCCCTTCACCTTCTTGACAGAACCCTAAATAACCCCCCCCACACACCATTACCAGTGTCACGTCACACACTCCAGCCTGCCTGCTTTCGTGCCATTTCCTCCAGGAAGTGAAGAAGAATTTTAATTAAGAACATGGCTGTTCTGGCAAGAGATCACGCCCAAAGACCTTCCAGGTCTGTGTGATCTGGCTAAAATACAGACACACCTTTAATCCTAGGAGACAGAGGCAAGCAGATATCTGAGCTCAAGGCCAACCTGGTATACAGCAAGTTTCAGGTAAAGGAAAACTTACATCCAGGTGCGGTGGGACATGCCTTTAATCCTCAACAATGAAGGTGACGTTGGTTTGTAAAGGGAAGCAGCCATGTTTGAAAATGCGATCTAACTGAATGGCAGAAAAGGTAACGGATCAGAGAAAGATTTGACAGAATAGGATATGCCCAAGTCTCAAGAGAGAGAAAAAGGGAAGCTAATTAAGGGGCAGTGCAGAGAGGAGAAAGGGCAGTTTTACCAGGACAGTAAGAGAGACAGGTTGCAGAGAGAGAACTCAGGTGAAGAGAGGATGAGCCAGAGAATGGGGAGCCAGAAATCAGAGCAGATTGCTTCAGTTAGTTTGAGGCCAAGCAGAGCAATTTAAGGGCCAAGAGCCAGACTAAGCAAGTTAGCTGGGAGAGGAGTTCGAAACAGAACGGCTGAGTTGAGCCAGCCATTCCAGAGCTCAATAAAAACAAGAAAGGATAAGCTTATTCAGCAATAACTATCAGAGGCTGAACACATTCTAGGCCTACATTAGATTTTATGGAGGCCAGAAGCTTCCAGGACTAGGCCTAGGTTATGAGAAGGAGGCAGCAATTACCGCAGGAGAACAAAAGTTCCTTTTACAAGGAAGAGTTTATTTTTGGCTCATGGTTTGACAGTACAACCCATAATAGCAGAAGGTCATCACGACAGGTGCATGGCGCAGCTGGTCACATTGTGTTCACAGTCAGGAAGCAGACAGAGATGGATATAGCTCCTTGGCACACCTCCATTTTACTCAGCCCAAGACCCCAGTCCATAGAATGATACATCCACCTTCAGAATGGGTCTTCCAACCCCAATTAACCAAGTCTAGAAACTCCTTCATAGACACGCCCGAAGGTCTGTCTCCACAGTGATTCTAGATCCTGTCAAATTGACAATCAATGTTAACCACACAGGTACTGTGATAATAGAGGGGTAGGTTGGAGTTTTATTGATTAATAGTGGGAAGAAGAGTGTCTGTGGCTCAGTAGTAAAATGTTTGCCTAGTCCACGGGAGGCTATAGTTTTGCTACCCAGAAAGAAATAAAATGTTTTAAGACTGAAAGAAAATGCCAGTTGTATTTGTTAAGAAAAATGCACCAACTCTACAATCTTGCTGGCACAAGTACTTTACAAAAAAGCATCACCTAAATGTAAAATGTAGGTTTACTTTATATGCCCAGGCAAGGATGGCAGTGACTAAAGTCTCAGTGGTGGTAGGACTAGGGGTGAACTGAGCTCTGCCAAAACTCCCCTTCCGCCTGCTCATTCTTTTTTTTTTTTTTTCCAGAGCTGAGGACCGAACCCAGGGCCTTGCGCTTGCTAGGCAAGCGCTCTACCACTGAGCTAAATCCCCAACCCCGCCTGCTCATTCTTTTGTTACCACAGTTCCCTAGACTCACAGGCAAGGTCTGAGAGAAGTCGAGGGAGTTTTGTTTGTCGTCCTTACAATACTCAGGAGTAATTCTTTTGTTGTTGTTTTTGTTTTTTTGAGACAGGGTTTCTCTTGTGTAGCCTTGGCTGTCCTGGACTTGCTTTGTAGACCAGGCTGGCCTGGAACTCAGTGATTCACCTGCCTCTGCCTCCAAAGCACTGTAATTAAAGGCATGCACCACCATGACCGGCTTCTCAGAAGTAGTTCTTGGTGTCACGTTTACAGCACATATTCTGCTCCAGTGTGCTGACGGTAAGAAGGCGAGCTTGCTCTTGTAAAGTCACGTGGATGTTACTGCTGCGGTTTCTCTGTTTGTCCCAGAGACTGCAACCTGGCCCATAACTGAGGAAACTGACATGCAGCCTATGGTTTCGCTGTTAGCCTGGCTGGAGAAGCAGTGTGAATCCTCTTGGTCTTAGAACATAATCGTAGTCTTTCTCCGTGTTGGTTGTATGTACATACCTATCTATGTACAGATACAGAAATAAATGTACACATATGTTATATATTCATAACACACATATGTATTATGTGTTGTATATAATGCACAGGTAATGTTAATCTCTGATAGAATAATTACAGAGTATATTATGTAAACATACGTATTGTTTTTGTTCTTATTTTTTGATAACTTCATAGTAGTGCTATATTTACATCATCCCCACCCCTCCCTTCCCCAGCAAACTCCTCCTTTGTTCCCCCAAGTGTTATTTTTAGAAAGGTATGGCAGTGGCCAAGCCTCTTCTGGGAAAGGTACATGAGTACGGCTCTCCCATGGCAAGGCCAGAGAAGTTGGGTCCCCGCATGGCAAGGACCTGTGGGGAGAATGCCCTGTCCTTTCCTGAGGGTATCCTTGGCTAGCTTTTTTGCCTTGTGTTTTTGCGCTTTTGACTTTGCTATTGGAAGTTTTTACTTTCACTTTGTCTATCACAGCCATTACCCCAGAATCAGATAAAGAAATCGCAGACTTTATCTGTGTGTGATTCACTCTTGTTTGTCTTTTAGGGTTGTGGGAATGGTGAACTCAGTGGCCGGCTCTTTCATCACCTCTCCCTGGGAGGTGCAGCCTTGCCAGGCCACACGGGAAGATAATGCAGCCAGTCCTGATGAGACCTGATAGGCTAGGGTCAGACAGAAGGGGAGGAGGACTTTCCCTATCAGTGGATTAAGTGAGAGGCATAGAGGGAGATGGGGAAGGGTGAGTGGGACTGGGAGGAGATGAGGGAGGAGGCCACAGCTGGGATACAAAGTGAATAAATTGTAATAAATAATAATAATAATAATAATAATAATAATAATGATAATAAAGGATTGTGGGAATGGAGCAGATCACTACTCCTCTGTTTGTTAATGATGATTGGGTTGAGTCAACACAAGGGTCTGTTCTGGGTACATAAGCTAACGTCCGGATGTTCTCTCCTGATGGGAACTTGGTTCTGACAACAGTTTGCCCATGGACCTGTTCCAAACAACAGCTAGATGATTATCAAAAGGTTAGGAAGGTCCTGCTGGATCCAAGTTCCAAGACTTAATAGGAACACTCAGAGGTGAACCAAGTAAGGATGAGGAATTGACTCAGGTTACCTATTTGCTGAGAGCCCTGGGCACTAGAGAAATTAGGCCTCCTGATTAGGATATGGGGGATGCTAGATGCCAATTATTAAATCAGAATTTCCTGGGCATGTAGTGTATCACCTCTCTCTACTGTATCCATCATTGCTGCCAACCACGGTCACTTGGTTCTGTCCCAGCGTGCTGGGTTAGATATTAACTGCTTGCTGAAGCTGTTTCCTTCTTGATTTAGTTCGTGGGTTAGCAGGAAACTGTGGGGACTGAGGAGAAGGAAGGGAAAAGCACAAGTGTGCACATTATTGTTAAATGTTAGAAGTTCTTAAAACAAACTGTATGTGGGAAAATGAGAAAATGAATGTAAAACCTTTTCAGCTGTGAAAAAATATATGTATAAATAAAGGTGGCCTGAGCTGTCTCAGTGCCAGAGTGTGTGGACGGCACCTGCTGGCCCAAGTGTTCTGTGGATTCCATACATCCTCCCTCGGGTTCTGACCTATCCTCCTACCCCATTCCCCGCCGGGGCTGGGCTCCGGCAAAGATATATTTTACTTTTGTGTGTTTGAGCACATATAGGTAGGGAAGCTCAGGGAGGTCAAAAGCACTGGATTCCCTTCAGCTGGCGTCAGGGGCAGTTGTGATCCCTCCCACGTAGGCACTGAGAACAGAGCTCCGTTCCTCCGAAAGGGCAGGGTACACTCTCAACCTCTGACATCGCGCTCCCGACCCTGATAATGGGTTTCTAAGAATAAAGTTTCAGGGGTTTGGGAGATCCCTTCAAAGGGTCAAATACCAGTATACAAGCATGAGGACCTGAGTTTGAATCTCTAGCGTAAAAATCCAGGTGTGACCAAAACAAAACAAAACAAAAACAACAACAACAACAAAAAACAACCTCCAGTAAGAAGGTGCATGGATGGAGATGGAGATAAGAAGATTCTGGGAGGGGCCTGGAGAAATGGCTCAGTAGTTGGGAGCTCTGTCTGCTCTTCCCAAGGTCCTGAGTTCAATTCCCAGCACCCACTGGTGGCTCACAGCCATGTATCCAATGCCCTCTTCTGGCCTGCAGGGTATACATGCAGTCAGAGCACTCATGTACATAAATAGATAAATAAAAAGAAGAAGAAGAAGATTCCGGGAGCCTGCTGCTCAGCTAGTCTAGCCAAAACGACAACATCCAGGTTCATGGAGAGAGCTTGTCTCTGAGTGAGGTGGTAACTGAGGAGGACACAGGACTCTGACCTTTGGCCTCTACACACGTGCACAGGCAAGCACCCTGGTACAGACATGCACGTTTGTGCACACACACCACACCCCACACGTTTTTTTTTTTTCAATTTCACTTATACTATCAGACGTGTCAAAACCTGTTTCCACAGCCACAGTGGCCCTCCCAAACAGCAGATCTCTCTTCCCACATTGGATCCCAGGGTCCACCTCTATCTGTTTTTACCAGGGAAGAACTGACACAAAGAAACAAGTGCTAGCCCAGTGTGTAAATATTTGAGTCCAGCCTCAGGCAGTGCCTCTTCAGAAAAGACGGCTATTCATTTTTTTTTTAAATTTTCAATTAATT